CTAAGGTCTCAGTATAGTTACAACGGCTGCCCCACCCTTCGAACCGAAACGCATCACTGCTTCACGGCAGAAATAGGCGGGGTGATGGTACCTACCCGTGCGGACTCACAAGAGGTCCTACCACCAGTAAGAACCGCCAGTAAGTGAGCTCGTCCACCCATCTAAGCAATAAAAAAAAATGTCGTCAACGTTATAAAAAATTAACGGCAATCGAATAATTTATGCTCGAAGGCAGCTCGAGAATTTTACACGAAATGTGTTTAAGCAATGAAATAAACTACCATGTTTGTATTCTCGTTAGTAAAAAAAGTAGTTTGTCACGCGACATCGGCTGCTATGTGCCTTTTTAGGTGCTTTCCTAATTTTAATACACGATTTATAATTTAAGCTGCTTTTACGGTTTAACGTAAGAAACTTCCGCGACCATGAAAACTGTAAAATATTCGAAGAAACGTCGGACATAAGTTAATGATATTTAAAAGTAGTTTTAATTATACCCACAACTCGCGAAAGAAGAAGAAAATCGATTTTAATTGAATATTAAACACGACAGCGTAGAAGAACTGTTTTACACAAATGTTTTTGTTCCATACTCTTTTTTTTATTGCTTAGATGGGTGGACGAGCTCACAGCCCATCTGGTGTTGAGTGGTTACTGGAGCCCATAGACATCTATAACTTAAATGCGTCACCCACCTTGAGATATAAGTTGTAAGCTCTCAGTATAATTACGACGGCCGACCCACCCTTCAAACCGAAACGCGTTACTGCTTCACGGCAGAAATAGGCACGGTGGTGGTAACTACCCGTGCGGACTCACAAGAGCTCCTACTGCCAGTAAAAGCATTTCAGAAAAACGATTAACATTGTGATCACTCGCGCCATATGAGAGCGGATTATTTATCTTTAATTGGGAGGTCCATAACTTTGTCTTCCACAGCAACAATAAAAAGCACACGTGCTATTTATTGTTTGTATTGAGAAGCACACGCTTCTCAATATTTTTTTCCTACCTAAGCTGATAGCCTTGTGAGACTATGTCAGCGTAACCTAACTAGTAGGTGAGCTCACGGGACTCAAACCTGACGACGTTGCCAACATTAACCCTAGCAAGAGAATCTAGCACGGGATCGGAAACGCGACACACTGAGAAAATCCGGTGAGATACTCAGTGGGCTGTGTCTGTGGGTTAGAACGGTGACCGGTGCTTGAGGTACCTAAAAGCATCGTTAGTGGATCGGGAGGATCCGAAATGACGTATTTAGGGCAACATAGACTCTCCCTCGAACCATCGGTTCTCTGTGTAGCCACAGATTCCCCACGGCTTAAATTAATGAAAATCATTTGTTGGTTAATTTCCAATGTAAAATTCCTATTGATTCAGCGTTACTGCAAAATAAAACCTGTTTTTTTGGAACATCAATATTCATTGTGAATCAACCGGTTTTCTGTATTTGGTGTCTGCATGCAGAAGTCTACACCAGTGCAGATAGACGTGAGTCATCGGCCAATGACATCAGAACGACCTTTTGAGCTTGTCGAGTTGAAAAATAAACGAAAATTTAAATTTGATATATTGATCTATCTAAGAAATTTAGTTCGAAGATTGTTACGTTACAACACGTCACCTGATCGATGAAGAAGTGATTTCTCAAAAACTATGTCCTTTAGTCTGCCGCGATTTCCTTTCTTTTCAGTACACAACTATTCAAAACATTTGCCATAAAACTACAAAACCATACTACGCTAAAAGGAATTTCTTTTAATTAAATTAAAATATTTGTTCATGTAAATAGTATATAGAATGAACGAATTACGAATATCAATTAAGTAATGGACAGAATGTAGATTGTTGTTAGCGAAATTTAAGTGCGAATAAATGATATTAGTTCGTCGAATTGTAGTTGTAGTTATAGTTGTAAGTAATAGTAGATTTCAGGGGTGGCTTTAAATTAATTCGATTCTTATTTATGTTCTAAGATATTTTAAAACTTCGAAACTTCAATCGATACGAATGTCGCGTGGATAATCCAATACTTCTTTTCATTCATATAGCTGCATTCAGAGGCGATGCAACCAGAGCAGGCGCTAACGAAAGGGAAAATGTACTTGAAAATGGGCTAGGGGGCCGCATCGATATTCCGTAAGTGGGTCACGGTCCTGGCAGTTCGCGTCCCGCACCGCCAGAGGGCGCACACACCCTTCAAACATCCCATTACTGGCGTGACGTAGGAAGGTATTGATTCGAGATTATGTAGGCATTTACGGTACATCGAAATGGTACATGTTCATAGTGTTTACGGTTTGAACTTGCGTTTGTTAACACGGAAGTTTCGAGAATTTGCGTTTAAAATTGTGTTTCGAATTTGTGAGACTGCAAAATTTGACTTTTTAGTAAAATGAAATGAATGCTATTTTAATGAATTTGTTGATGAAACTTAGTAATCAAATGATTATATAAATAGGTATAAGCAATTACGAACTATTTTCTTTTGTTTATCTTTGTTTTTAGTTTGTAGCTTGAAACACAAGCTTTAGTTTTGTAAATAAAACCACTTTAGAAACAATTTTTTCCAGTTTTTTAAGAAAAAAATGTCAACAATAAACCGCTTCTGAAGTATTTGATATTTCTGGTAATTATGGTCCAACATCGAACTTCGGGCGAAAATCATTTTGATTTATTTTCGGAAAGATCTGTCGAAACATTAATAATCTATTAAAGAATATTTTAATCGAGGAAATAAGATTAAGTATTGCTACATTTGAAAAAAACATAAATGAGTATTAACCAAGTATTTAATAATTAAACAGTCGATTAAAACTCATTATAGGTATTGACGAAAACTACACATAAAAAGTGGGGAAAATATATTATTTGCAGTTTAATAGGTTTTACAAATGTACAATAACGAAGAACTTAAAAATAGGTTCTCAATATTCTTACAAGAGAAGCCTCTTCCAAAAGCTTACATCACGTGAATGATTCAGAGATTATTTGCGTACGTACATAATTAAACACAAGATGAATGATAATTACTCGAAGTACGTGGGCCGAATATGTATGATGGTATTGAGCGAACGGAAATATCTTTAGTATGTACATACTTCTTATTATTTTAATCATGGTTGTCTCAGTCCAAATTATTGACAAGGTTCTACAGGGGCATATTATTAAAAAAAACGTTAACCATCAGAGTGATGGTCATTTTTTTTTTTGGTCAGTTGGAAATCGCCGGACTTCGCCCTCCACTGGGAATGATGAGCGGAGCATGCCGGAATCGAACTGCTTAAAGTCTCCTGTCGCTCAACAATAACGTCCAAACCTCGCATTAGACAGAACTCATGAAAAGGCAAAGGGGGAAAGTGAGACGCTTAGTGCGGAGCACATCTCTCCCGTCATCCTCCCCCTCGGGACGCCGGACTGGCGGTCGTCGGCGCCACGACCACCAGCCCTCTCGGTCGGCAGGCTATTCGAAGCCCGTCTAGATGGCGCCGGTTAGAGTGAGTTATCCTACGGAATACCCCGCTGGGTCAGAACCAGCGTGGGTCGAGGATATTAGCTTTCCGAGGTAGGCAAGTATTATTACTACTAGCTTTCGATGTTAGTCCCGTTTTGGTATAATGAAATTTAGGAAGAAGATTTAATCAGAACTATCAGACACTATTGTCATTTATAGTGAATTAACGCTAATTATCATATTTTTGTTTCATATCATCAGTTCGAATACTTAGATGGAATGACCTGTATTTTGAGATTCAGCAATTTGTTCAAATCCTCGATTATATAATCTCAGATAAGACCAACGCATCCTGGGATCGTGTCTCCTTGTTCCCCTATTCCTCATATTGTATAACAATGATCAGTTAAAGTTAGGTTAGGTATGATAATTTTTTATTCAAAGTTTCAACTAACTCAAGCAACAAATACGATAATTGGATGTGATTCGAACATCTAGTCAGCATGAGCTTAAGCGTGAAAGCGTCTAAGCTCTGAAAAGCTCACGAATACTATCGAACATACTAAGCTTACTAGACCTCAAATTTCAGTGACAATTACTAATTATCAATTACTAATTGTCATTCAAAATTATCGTGAAATTTAATTTTCAACAAGAAAGGAAGTATGTAGTTCTAACACAGGTCTTTGTCATTGCGGTTCGTTCTACTTGAAAGATACCACTGACTGGTAGCCGTTAAATGACCTAATAATTAGTAATAGCCGTTAAAAATCCATTAAACAGCTATTAATTAACGGCGCCCATAACGCGCAGTCATTGCTCGAAGGCAATAACGTTGACAATAAAAATACGAAACATAAAATCCGGGGCGAAGGGGTGTGTATCGCGAACCATCGGATTTAATGGCTCGTGACGTCATTGTCTTGCGGGTTGATGGGAATTTTCCTCTTCGATAAGCAAAAGGTTCTGTCGTTTAATCTGATTGCGTTTTACTGAAATAATTAAAAATTATACTAAACATGTTGTGTCATGTTTTGAATATTTCATTTTGGGTGATTTTGTTCTGCATTAACATGATGTACCCAGGAATAAAATACTTAGAAAATATGTTGTATGCTCGTAATCTGTGAGGATTCGGTCGTAATAATTAAGTAATGGACAAAAACAATTTAAATATTAATAGTCAAAAAACAAATGATAATTATTTTGTTGTACTAAATAATAGCTTATTTTATACCACAGACTTGCCGCGAGTTTTTGTGTTCAACCTAACTGGTTTATCGATTAGCTTATCAGAAGGTCACCGATTGGTAAGGTCAATTGCGTGTAGGATAATGATCTGATGGTAAGCTTGTTTTGTTTTGAGTTTATTTAAAAAAAGAAAAAAAAATGTGAGGGTGTTTGTTTTTCACTGGCGAGTGGGTGGAAATGATAACACTCGTTATTTCAACGTATAACATTGTTGGATGTTACGTTTACGTAATTCTATTAGTTTCCATTAATTATTGGCGAGGCGGTGAATAATAAAGCACGGTAGACTTACCAGAATACGTCCGGTGGTGGTCTGACCGGAAATGAGTTCGCCGGCCCAGTCTTTCGCTTCGGTCATGAAGGTCCCCTCGAACTCCTGTTTGCCCTGTCTCGCGGCCTTCTGCTCCTTCTGCTTGGGGTCGTTGGGCGCGAGCTCGGGCTCCTTGTGACAGCAGACGAACGCGCACGCGCGCCATAGTAGCACCACGAGCAGTCCCGCGAGGAACGTGAAGATCGACGAGAGCAGGAAACACCACCATCTTCGGACACTGAGGCAGTCATAATTAGGGTTCGGCGTAGTCGCCTCTTCCTCGGACGAAGCCATTCCCCGAGGGCGCGAGGCATTCAGTCAGACGCGCCATGCACGTGCTCCGATGCGCGCGCCCCCTCGCCGTGCTCGCGCGCGACTGCGACCGCTCCCGCCGGCGCGCCCCGCGGTCGATGTCGCCCGATCGATCCGCACAAGCGCACTAATTCATCGCGCTCAACTTCTTTATCCTTCTCCGCTCGGCGACACTCTTCAGGCCTGTCGCCTCATCGTCGACGATACCTTTATGACTGCAGATGTTTCCGGAATTAATTTTATCGGTGCCATAACAAGCGAGCGACGGTTCTGTGTACTCGTGCGTTCGAAGATGCCTGTTTCACTGTTGAACGTTTTGCGCGAACTGTATTATTTTTTCGGGGAATGCGGAGGTTTTCGTTAAAGGTCAATGTATTCCGAATTTGTCCCGTTCAGCGTAGCGAGCTACGGCGCCCTGTTACTGCGTCAGCGGTCGCTACGAAACTTGTAGATGTCTACGGGTGCGCTACGATTGGTTGCCGAGAATGCGAAGCGCCGATATCTTCACGTCCTTCCCATATAATATGAAATGGTGGCTGTTTGTCTTTTCTTTGTTGGATACGGTCTATATTTTATGTGGATCGCCTTCAGTTTAATATATATGAGGCAATTAGGGGATTACAACAGCCTTTATGTTAGGGCGCGGTTGAGTGGTATTGGAAAACGATTTTTCAACTGAATTGTTTCTCTTAAGGCGCGTTGACGTAACCTTCAGTCCGAACTATTATATATTTATGATGTGAACGTTTGTACCCGGTTTGTATAATTTATAAGTGTTTGCTTGACAGGTGAAGTTTCAACGTTTCTATTTTTAACTGATTTCAAGAAAAGGAGGAGGTTCTCGATTTGGCTGTTTTTAAGATTTTATAAAGAATTTGCTTCGACTATATTGATGATATTCTCATTCTCATTCTAAATTACCTCATTTCTTTATTTTTTTAGGTCACATGTATCTACTTATGTAATTGGCGGTGATTGTGACGTAGCCATCTTAGAGCACAAGAAATTTGACAGACGCCTTACATTTTCAAGATACATATTCCGAACAACATTAGGACCGGCGGTGTATCGAACAATTTCACCCGCTCGGTGGAAGACCTACCCTTCGTCGTGATTTCCCAAACTGATCTTTATGTCTAGAATTATAACTACTTTTATTTAAGGCTTCATCTTGCGTTTTTTATTGTCTTATATTATTTGTGACGTTTAGAAGAATTGTGGTGGGCAAGGTAGAAGGGCAAAGACCCGTCGGCCGGCCACCAAACCGTTGGTCGGATCAGATAATAGCGCTCACTGGACTCTCTGTTGCGAACGCCCTGAGAGAAGCCGAAAACCGAAGCAAATGGAAGCTGATGGTACAAAGAGCCACGAAGGGCTTTCAAGGACACGACCTTCAACAATGAAGTATTCGACTAAGAAGAAGAAGAAGAAGAATAAATAGGTACTTTACAGTTTCCTCATGGTCTGCTCATGTTTGAATCAGGATATTTTTAGGGCCTTACGTCTGCGTGGATCCTGCATTAGCTATAAAAAATTGGTCCGGATAACTTTGCACAAGATGTCCATTCTTCTCACACGCACAAACTATGTGATGCATAGTTTCGATCTTCTCCATGCAGTAACGTTTATTTTGTGAGTCCGATTCATCTTAATCTGGTGCTCTACAGCACCTTACGTCTTATGTCTTAGCTGACTTCCACTAAGCCTTCCGGATTTTCCTATGTTAATTATGTCCGTCAAACTTTCTACTTTTATTCTCCCGTAGATTGGTAAATGACTTAACGACCCGCTTTGTTAGTTTGCTATCGAAGCCCCATGGATATCGGAACCCGAATACCGCCACCCACCATGAGACAAGAGATCGAAATACCGGTTACAAAATTAAATAATGAACGGGTCGCTTACGGCCTCAAACTAGGATCCGCCCTACTACGAGAACCAGAGACTGTTAAACATACATACATGCAGGTATTTGAAATATAAAAAAGCTGACACAAATATTTGTCCGAAGTGGGAATTGAACCTACGACCCTCGGCCCAGTAGCATGGGCGCTAACAACATCATCATCGAGTCAGACAAATATTATCGCGAGCTTTAGTCACTACAGTCCCACACTTCAAACAGAAACGAATGAGATGAGATGAAATCGCTGCAGAGATGAGCGGATGATGGTGCCTATACGCGCGGGCTTAATAAACGTTTTCCCACCAGTAAGAACCACTTGGAAATCACTATTCTCGTAAAGACGCTCACTTTGCACTGCAGGAAGACTTGTTTCTCATAAGATAATGGTTAATTGTTAGCGGTGTATATAAGTCTAAGGAATGCTATTAGCTTAGCCAAGCTTTTTCTTATCGTTATGTATGTTTTTGCGGCCTTGATGATGCACTGATGAGTGGTTGATGGGCATCGACAATCACAACCGCTGTCTAGGAACACATCAAGCGGTGACGAAACTACCAACAATTAATTTAGTGAAATATGTTAAGGTCCTCAACTCAATCAGGTGGTAAGTTTTTTTTTATTGCCTTTGTAGGCAAACGTGCATACGGCCCACCTGATGGTGAGTGGTTACCGTCGCTCATAGACTTCAGCAATGCCAGGGGCAGAGCCAAGCCGCTGCCTACTAACGTGGTACGTGTTGGTTGGGAGTTCACGTTCCTGAATATGAAGAGCAATCAACAATTTTACGTACAAATAATCACAAAGTAATGGTCATTTTGTAGGGGAATGATACCCCGCCCCGCTTAGCTTACTATGCATTTATAGTAATGAGCAACATACGTTAGTCAGTCAGTGGTCAACGTGCGGCGATCCACCGCGGTCGCTGACGCGAATAAACATGTAATTATAAGTAATGTTTTATTGACCGCTCCGATGAGGTTTATGGAGGACAACACGCAACAAACAACCAACGCACACGCATCCTCCTCCTTCATCTCGCAATAAACCTCACACTGGTGACCCCGACGTGATATGCTTAATACTTCGACAAAGCGACGCGTTGACCCCCTTATTATGGCCGTCGCTGATTATATATCCGACCCAGGCGATGGGCCAACGTAAAGCCGCCTTCACCTGAAGCATCTTGGATCCCCCGGATCCACTCTCGGTACTTTATGGCTCTTCAAACACCGGTCACGGGCCTTGTCGAACTTGTCGATTAAGACGAACAGTTCGACAAACGAACCCACAGACATAACTCACTAAGTTCTTCGTTTGATCTTCTCAGTGTGTCGCGATTCAGATCTGGTGGTAGATTATGCGAGGCACTGCTCTCGTTAGCGCCAGCGTTAGCACTCTTAGTTTGAGCCCCGTGAGCTCACCTACCAGACTTAGCGTAACTGGAACAGCCCCTCAGGTATAAGGGGTATAAGGTATAAGGAAGGAAGGTATAAAGTATAAGGTAACAATACCAATTAATAGGTACGGAAAAAAATTCTATATGCTCAATCGTATAAATACAGTGTTCGTTTGGCAGTAAATCAATGTCCATGATTCGATATGTTATCGTTCTATTAACAAACCATGCACTAAGTCCCTACTTCTATTAGATGTACGTGGATCTATGTGATTTGGTTCGATTCCATCGTTTTTCCTCAGAACAATAAGTACATTGAGAGTGAAACCTAAAAAAATGTTTGCCGGTCTACAAGTTGATGCAAATACTTAATAGTTAAGTACCACTTTCTCTCTTTCACTTCCTGAGAGCTATTGACGAGTTTGAGGTATGAACAATATTTATTTTCATGTGTCAATAACAGTGGGTAGGTAGCTAACTATCCATAAACATTGGTACAGTAAGGCTATTGTTGTACCTACTTCAGTTGAATAGCTCATGCCCGATCTATTTTAGGAGCTACCGGCATCCTGAAACAACGATTACCCTGCCACATTGGATTTAGATTTCATAATAAAAGTTGTTCTGGGTGCTCGACTAGCAAAGTTGCTTCTAACCAAAAAAATTGCAAGATAGTGATACCTGACCCGCACTGACCAATGCAGTCATCATAGTTGGAAAAATAATGATCAACTAGTCTCATAATTCTATTAGCATCTAACTCAATAAATAAACATCTAAAATTCATTTTATTGCATAATACAGTTCACCACTAGTGTTTTAATTAGAGATAGTCACATACTTGTATATTTTTGGCTTTAATAGGTGGACAAGCTCACGGTCTGCCTGGTGTTAAGAAGTATCTGGAACCTTTTATACTGCTTCACGGAAGAAACAGGCAGGGTGGGGTACCCACAGTTTTCTAACCTATTGTCTCGAATTTCTGATTAGATGAAGTTTGGTTAGTTCAAACAACTTTCTGATAAGCTAAAGCTCGAAGTTCTAATATAGCTGAGATCGGATGATAGTATACTAAAATGCCATTAAGTATTTAACTATAATTTTTATTCTTAAAACACATTAACAATTAATTAATCTTTATTCTCATTCTGGCACAATATCTCCAATCCATTTCAGGTATGGTGGATTACCGTTCTTTATGGGTACCGATATAACCTCGCATACTTCGTATGGATGATTGGAGCGTACATACTCTGTTAGTTTATCAACTTGAGATGTACGAGTTTTTATCATAAGTAAGGTCTGAAAATAAAACAGTTTCGATGTCAATTTCGTGAATTAAACCAAAGCTATTCGAAAGCAAAAAATGAAAAAAATATTTTCTAAAAACACACGAAAACAACTTAAAAAAGTTATGGGTTCTTCTATGAAGCGAGCTAGTGTGTTTTTAGTTTGTCATAATTTAAAACTTAATATTATGTAGTCTTGTACCTGTAGTTAGGCACAGCCTCTTACTACAGTCAAATATCTGTGTGATCTACTATCAAGGGAATGACAATGATAATACAATAGGGGTTGAACTTGAAAGTCTCAAGATCGGTAACCACATTTTGCTAATTGTAATGAATTCTGAGAATTTAACACTAATCCTAACAACTGTTCTTGTATGCATACTGTACTGTATTGACTGTACTTGGTCAAATGAATATATATCTTTATTTTTGGCAATAATGAAATAACACTTTTTTTAAACATATTATTATCCGCAACATGCTTCGTCGCAAATTGACTGGTAATTAAAAAAGTTATCAATTTTATTATTATAACTGCCTTTTTTTCTTAAAAAGGGAAGGTATATCTAGTAGTACATAAGTGAAGAAAGCATATTCTACAAATTGTATTTCTTGAATAGGGTATTATAACATTTAAATCTTTTACAAACATATGAAAATGGTCAATGTGACCAGTAATGGTAGGTTTAATGATAAAGTAATAAAATGATCAGCATTAGCTTAAATGAGACTGTATCCTTTTTAAAGTAAAAGCCAGTAAAAAAGTAAAAAAAAAAACCCAAATTTTATAGTGTTATTGTTAAAGTTGTTCACAATCCTAATGGATTGTACCAGAAGTAATCTTCTTATATAGACTGTGGTTAGAATGTTAGTATACATATATTTATTGGTATTTTGGAGAAACATGTAACCTCTTTATCTTCATTAATTTCATTTTTCCACTCATAAATAGAAGTTATTCCGGGAATGGAGTTTACACAGGCAGCAAGCTTATTCTTCACCAGACCATGACCTATAGTTCTTCCAACTTCATCATTGGGCACTGTCACATATACCACTGAATATTTGTCTAAAAAATGAATGTGATGCAAAATGTTCTTATACTTAAGAAAACAATGCAATCTAGTTATTAATGATGGACTTTTCAACAGTTTAAGTATTAATTTTACTTAGGAAATTGGTGTTGATATTTTCCTTAATTTAGTTTAATTCCTCATATTACTTCCCCTATTTGGTAAATCTTTGAAGTCAATCATAGTTATTGTTTAAGTATGTAAGGAAATAAATGTTAATGTAGGTAATTATAATTTTTAGTTGTACTTTTGACGAATCAAATAAAGAATTATTTCATGATTTACCACTATCAATACTTCCAGAAGACATATTTGTTTGACTATACACAAAACAAGGCCTCACTATTGATAGATAAAAAGTTAAAACAGTTTTCCTGTTTAAAGAAATCAGCATGTTATTTACTAAATATTGACTTTTATGACCAGTTTTTTTTTAAGGGATTTTATGACCTGGTAACTAAGACCTTTAGGTCATGTCTTATTTTAATTTATATTCAGATTTTTATAAATTTTTTATTATGGAGTGAAATGAAATGAAGATGATTAATTTGAGACATTAATCAACTGGGATGAAATTAAATGAAATGAGATGATATGGTATGAAATATAATCTCAGTATAATGGTGGTTATTTACTGAGATTTTTTCAGTGGACTTTTTGGAGGAACCCGAGAAGTTACGTCCAGCAGCTTTGTTTCATTTTCCCACTTTTGTGCACTTTCACAGATATTAAACAGTTAATAAACCACCGTTATTACACATTTAAACCTGAAGAAACACTAAATAGACAAAATAAAACAAATCACACCACTTCACTCCTCGCGTTCCCGCCAAAAAGTCTTATGACCAGAGAGAGAGAATAACCATAGATTATACACTTAATATATTAGAATAACATTATTGTATGAGTTTTTGACATTGGCAATAATTCAGGCAAGGCATATGGAACCTAAGTACATACCTCGTACCGTAAAATGGGGCGATTAGGGATTGAGAGGCGAATGGGGAAAAACCAGGAAAATCTTTCGACGCTCAATATTAGTATTATATTCGTTGCAAAATCTTCAATTTTTTGGAGATTAATAGTAGAATGTTGAAAGTTCACAAAACAACTCTGAATATGCATGATAATAGCTGCTAATTTATAAAAAATCGCGTTTCAAATTAACTGCCTGTGGTTGTAATTATTTTAGTGCTAGAAACTTTGCTCTTTTTTATTTATTTAATAATAATAGAAGACGACTGTGATTTATAAACGTTATTTAGTGTTTGAACCATCATATTATTATATATTAAAGGTATGTCTCAGTTGTTATTGGTTTTAATGTATTTGATAAAAAAAAATACATGTAAAAATCTGTTGTTTTTGGGGATATTGGGGACGTCTTAGGTACAAATAACAACGAAAAAGGGGTCAATTGGAATGAGAATAAGTGAATTGGAAACGAGCTAAGTATAAATAGGTACAGGTTTGTAGGGTTACTATGTAGTTATAACAATATTTTTTTATTTGGTGGTAAAAATCTGGTTTATTCATGATGTTTTTGTCTAGAACTTTTATTCAAAATTATCAATGTGTCATTTTATTGTTTGGTAAATATTTATATTATCAGTTACGTATTGTTTTCTATTTTTAGATATGCCTCGCGTGTACGTATCAAAGAGTGCAAAGCCTTATAAGAGATATGATCCCTTAATATTAAAAACAGCAGTAGAAGCCTATGAAATTGGGAATAACTCTTTAATTGAAATAGCTAAGCTAGCTAATAATGTCTAAGTAATACATAATAAAATATTTAATATTTGTTCAGAGTGGGGGTATTCATCTGATTAATCCATGGAATAACCGACACACCTAACCTCTTAACCCAGATAAAATTATCAGCCCCTAAGTACTTACCAAGAACGAAGAAATATAAACCATTTATAAGAAAGCCCGCTCGTTCGAATTTAGGTGCTTACTCTCCCATATACAGAATCCATTGGGACTACAATAATGTCCACGGTAGCGTGGTCTCCGTCAATATTCATTCGGAGTTGTCCGATTGCGCTGAACTAATTTTAAGTGATGAAATAGATGTTTTTTTTTAATTAATTCACAACTTACAGTACAAATCTGTCGCGGATCATTTCCCAAGTAAATATAAATTAATCATAAATGTAATCAAGTTTTAGTTATATATATATTTTTTGTTGTTAATGCACTGTCGAATGCACCTACAATTGAGGTGACATCTGCCACGTACTTTTGTCAGTTTTTAAATGTTTTTTATTGATGATCACTTTGTTGGTGCAACTAAATAAATAAATAAATTAAAACCAAGTAGTGCCAACCCTAGCAAATTTCTCATTTCGTCTCCATTAACCGCAGTTTCCGGGTAAATACACCTATTTTTGCTTTTTTTGCTTAAACTGGAATGCTAGTTGCATAGTTTAAATTGGACAACAAAGATGCCAAGACTCAATCATTTTGATCCTAATATAGCATTATATACATCAAGAACTACCTTAAAATTGGTCATAAAGTTGGAATTTGTCCCTAATCGCCCCATTTTACCGGTACTGATAAAATGTTTCTTATGAAAGGTTCAAGTCATGTTCGTTATTTGAAAGGTCAAATGGAATGAAAACGAAACAACTAATATAGGTACATATAACGAGATTATGATGAGAGAAAAATAAAACGTTTCCCTACATCTTCATTTGCTTCCTTTTCAATACCTCTTTAAAATATAATATAATATATAATTATAAACTATTATTTAGGACTATTTCAGCAACTATTGTAGATGTTACAATGTATAAGATTTATATTCAATATTTTTGACCCTTTGTCCATATCCCTTAATTCAAATTATCAAAAATTATCAAAGGGCAATACAAAAAAAGTTTGAGATTGTTACTTTTATACCGATTTAAGATGATTCTCCCATATCACTAATCTTTATGACTCATTTACTTGGATCCCTAGAAAACAATTTGGAAAAGTTGGGTTTGTGACTGCTTTTAAAGATAAATTATATTTTTGATACTTTTGTTTACATAAATCGTGGTTGTTTAAAGAATAGATTCACTATGCGGGCTAAAACAGGTCGAAAAAAACAAACGACACAATAGTTTCTTTAAATAAATATATTTAAGACGGGTAGTCTTTTAACAAAGTTCGTTCCTCAAAAGTTTTTGAGCAATAAATTTTCGTAATCTCATTTCATGATTTTAACGCGCACACACACACACACACACAGGCACAGGTACTCGCACATGTACAGTTTAACCGAGTAGCGTGGCAACACACGAACAACAGCTCGGAACTTTCATGGACCTCTCGATCATTTCGCCGCTTTCGCTTAGGATCTTCATTTTTCTGAATATAAACTTCTGAACGCATTTCGGATTGTAGTTATTTTCCATCGTCACGAATTTCGCGCAACCGGTACTCGTAGTGCTGTAACACATTAATCAAATTAAACATTTAAAATGACATAACGGAAATGTTTTTTTTTTACTTGCTTATGTGGCTGACCCAGCTCTCCTAAATAGGGGTCAAGAGGCTATCAGTGCTACCCTTCGTTTGCCGATAGGGCTGCTGTTCGAACTCGATACTTTTACGCGGTCCAGAAGTTACAAAACTCGTAATAAGCACACGGAGCCCATAGTCATCACGACGTGAATCCCTCTATCCACCTTGAGACTCGGGCCCTATTGTCTCAATTGTATAGTAATTACGCAAAATAAACATTTTCGCTCTTACTTTTTTTTTTCTACCTTTCCCACAAAGTGGGGTCGGTACAGCAAATTTTTCTCTTCCATTCTCTTCTATCAGTCGTCATCTCAACACTCACTCCCCTCTCTCTCATATAGTCATTCACACACTTGATCCATGTCTTTTTCGGTCGACCTCTTCCCCTCTACCTTGCACTACCATTTCCATACGTCTCCTAGTCACATGCATTTTCTCTCTACGCATCACATATCCTATTTTATTCCTGTCCCTGTTTCGCTGTTTTGAATTTATTATATGACGTTATTTTTTGGGAGGCTTTTGTGGGTTTATTTATTAATGGGTGGATTTACTGGAGCCCATAGACATCCACAACGTAAATGCGCCACCCACCTTGAGATATAAGTTCTAAGGTCTCAAGTATAGTTACAACGGCTGCCCCACTTTTTAAACCGAAACGAATTACTGCTTCACGGCAGAAATAGGCAGGGTGGTGGTATCCATCCGCGCGGACTCACAAGAGGTCCTACCACCAGTAATTACGCAAATTATAATTTTGCGGGTTTCATTTTTATTACACGATGTTATTCCTTCACCGTGGAAATCAATCGTGAACATTTGTTGAGTACGTATTTCATTAAAAAAATTGGTCCCGCCTGAGATTCGAACACCAGTGCATCGCTCAACACGAATGCACCGGACGTCTTATCCGTTAGGCCACGACGACTTCAAAAGTCCAGCCAAGGGTCTTAAGGTAGTGGTAGTGGTATAGTAGTGGCATTCGCTTGCGTTGTGTATGGACAGTTCAAATTAGACCAGAACGTAAGTTGCCCTATCTGTGATGGCAATTACAATAATAAATGAACAAAGACTTACTTGCATATCTCGACCCTGAAACCTTGTAGTGGATTTTCGTTAAAATTCAATACATGGTACCATTTGAGATCATCCGATTGAGCTGCCAGTGGAGTCATAATCTGGAGAGTGTAAATAAAAATGAATGTTTGTTAAAGTTAATTTACAATTAAAAATGTACTAGATGATGACCGAGCTTTGCTCGTTTATTTTTTTTTTGATAACGCCATCTTGTTGTGTCTTTTAAGCGGTTAGTTGTCCTCAATTAAGAAAAATAGTATTATTATTCGCCAATAGATGTCGGGAAGAGTTGATTATTGAAAACACGAATAAAACAACATTTTCTGAAAATAAATCGTAGCTAGATCGATTTATCGCCCTCGAAATCCCCTGTATACTAAATTTTATGAAAATCGTCGGAGCCGTTTCCGTGATTCAGATTATATATTAATATATAAGAATTTCTCGTTTAAAGGTATAAGATTTCGGCGTTTTTTGTAGTCTGACGTTTCCAATTTCTCAAACGTTTTATGCATCCGTAGGTAACCATGAAAACTATAATATTGAAATTTACGATTTGCGGAAAACGAATAATCTATAATATTATTGCATTAGAAGTTTCTCTGATTCGATCACAATGACATCTTATCGGGCTTAAGGCCTCTGTAGTCCTCCGGTCTCACTGCGAGTGAGCTAGCTAGAGAGATCTCATACCTAACCGCTGGTAGTCTAGGGGTTATTCCAGCTACGAATGGTTTGGTAGGTGAATTCACGGGGCTCAACTTGAAGTCGAGCTCGAATTCAAAGTTCCACTAGCCCTAGCAAGAGCAGCGCTTCGCTAAATCTACCACCGGATCGGAATCGCGACCCACTGAGAAAATCCGGCGTAAAACTTACTCAGTTCACTGATTGACGCCAACAATTTGTACAATAAATATCACGTATATATTACCTTAACTCTAAAGTCACATAGTTCGTACGAGTCTTCGAATGAGCCTGCCCGCTGGGCGATATCCGGTATCGAAGGTAAGTCCAGTTTGTCGAATTGAAACTCTGTTTTCTCGCCCAACTGTTGAAAAATAACTTATGTTTTGATTGTTGATTGAGATGGGGTTGGAGCTTTGATTGTGTTTAGGACTGCCCCACCCTTCAAATCAGGACACGACTTTTTTTAATATTTTTTTTATTGCTTAGATGGATGGACGAGCTCATAGCCCACCAGTTGTTAAGTGGTTACTGGAACCCATAGACATCTACAACGTAAATGCGCCACCCACCTCGAGATATAAGTTCTAAGGTCTCAGTATAGTTACAACGGCTACCCCACCCTTCGAACCGAAACGCATTACTGCTTCATGGCGGAAATAGGCGGGGTGGTGCTACCTACCCGTGTGGACTCCCAAGAGGTCCTACCACCAGTAATTACGCAAATTATAATTTTGCGGGTTTCATTTTTATTACACGATGTTATTCCTTCACCGTGGAAGTCAATCGTTAACATTTGTTGAGTACGTATTTCATTAGAAAAATTGGTACCCGCCTGCGGGATTCGAACACCGGTGCATCGCTTCATACGAATGCACCGGACGTCTTATCCTTTAGGCCACGACGACTTCAAACTGCATTGCGGCAGATTTATGCAGGATGATAGGACCAACGAATTCATAATGCATCCTACCACCAGCAATTACGCACCCCTTGAGACCTAATGTTGACTTCTCAGCTTAGCTTTGATAAAGGGTGTGTTGCAACAGTAGCATATACTTATATTTACTTTAACGCTTAAAGCGTGACTTAACACAGATCTTAAAGTACCTTAGCAACGATCTTTTTTACTTGTTCTCTTGGGTAATTCGGTATCTCGTCACAGATGCCTATTTTCTTGCACGACTCCGGGATTTCTGGGACGTATGGGTTTACGCCTGACCTTGAGGTCAGCCCCGGGAACACCACCCTGTCTCCCGGAGAGTCGTCCGTTTGAGCTGAAATATAGACGTAACTGTATTATGAAGACTGACTAAATCTAGGATGGGTTTGTCTAGGATGTATGAAGTTCATATAGATTATAGATATTTATAAAATTGTAACAGACTCTGTTCTTTTCAGTTTGTCTGAACTGTAAAACTATGTTGTCTTTCGCTAACAACCTGCTATTATAAAAAAAGTTTTTTGTATATAGCTGTGATTCAATAACGTGGCTTCGATCACGCCGTTGGTAGTAGAGGTTAATGACCTCTACGACGACATATCAAGGTGTGTGAGTGAAATTACGGGTCGTAGTCAGTCTTAGTCAAAAAGGTAGTCAACATGACGCATCTGGGTGTAGTCCTCGTATATACTTCAAGCAGTTTATGACTAAACTACTATATAATAAAAAACTTAAATTAAACTTAAGTCGGTATAAGTTGAAACTACCGTCCTAATCAATTGTCGTCTAGTAATAGATATTTTTGTTTCAGGAGCAAGAGTGTTGCTATTCCAATGCACAATTGGCTATTACGTTTAAACGCCCGCTTACAATGCCAATTAAGATATAATTAATTAATAAACAATAACAATCGTGTATTGCGTTATGTTAAACTTGTAATTGAATAGGAAAGATAAATACAAAAACACTGAAAATGCTTTTAGCTTGTCACGCAAGAACGGTTGGGCTTATAGGAGAATTGAATGTGAAAAACTTAATATTAAGTAAATAATAACAAATTAATACGTGAAGTAAAAACTTTGTATCCCTTTTTAAGAAAATTGCGCGGACGGAGGAGTATGAAATTTTCCACACTTATATAGAACATAGAGAATGACTGTTTAAATAATAATGTAAAATGTACTTTAAAATTCCTGAAAATTATAGATTACCATATATTAATTTAATTATAAGGTTACAGTGGTCGTTAATAACCATTGCTGTTAAAAAGCGACCTTAAATAAATAAATAAAAAATAAAAAAATAGAGAAGAAGTGCACAATGCTAATATTTTTTTAAAATAATGCATAAAAGATACATTAAATCAATAAAGAAAACATTACACATACTACCATGTATTTGACGCACACACGCATGCATACTATTTATTTATTGTCAAACTTTTGTTCTTGGCGTCTACGCGTCTGTTGTCAAATTGAGATTAGATTAAAAATATTGTTTGCCTTTGTTAATATTTTTTATAGTGTAGTCTTGGCGAAATTTGTGATTATAGAAGTATAAAATACAATCATAATAGTGTACAAACTTACAATTCCAATTAATTATAGTCGAATTTCGACGGTACGGCCTTTTAAAGGCCGATTTGTTATTACTAGAGGTAAAAATACGATTTTCTTTTATGTTATGCCGGGTGCCAGAAAAATACAGACGAGAAAAGATAAATTGAAAAATAAAATTAATTTCGTGCCATCCTAGTTCAATGCTCTACCCAGAGATGGCGCTTTTATTGATTATTTCATCTATGTGGCTTTGATCATTACAGAATCTAATTTGCTTTTTCGTGGTTAGCAAACTACATTACTTGCGCTGGCAATTAAGTTGTAATAGAGTACTTTAATAGGACGTCCTTGCTATGCGTGTGTTAATTTTATGATCAATCTTGATGTTGATTTTACGATATTCTCGTTCGTATAAATATTAAGTACTTATTATTTTATTGTTACGTATTTATGAACATTTGCAGGCAGCAAAGATATTATTATTATTAGAACGGCCGTTTTTCCGTTCTGACTAATTACCTTGATAGAAGATTATTGCTTTGAAAAAACAAGAATTTATATCGATTTGTAAATACTTGAGACGGAGAAAATATTGGCGGGGTCACACGACACTAGACTCTTTTGTAATGTGTAAATTTTAAAGTTAGTACGGTTTAAGTTTCCAATGACTTGATGCGGCTCTGATTAGCAACAGCTACAACTTGAGGTTTTAAAATTGCTTTTGGATTTTAACATTTCAAAATCTGTACTGTGAAAACTGAGACTTGGACTTATGTCCCAAGATGGTCGGCGGCATTGATGTAGTTGATGTCCATGGGCACTTAATACCAAATGGACCGTAAGCTCGTCCACCTATCTTAGAAATAATAATAAAATATCTATATTCTAGCTGTATCAATTTTAAAATATATCATTAATCGAATAATAATCTAAACTATTTTTCTTTTTAAACAAGATTGAAAATCTTTTGATTTCAAAATTGCTCTACCTTTGTTACAAACTATGTCACAGCGAAGGCAGATTAGTCCATCGAGATTACTGGCAGCGAGGTAGAAAAAAAAGCTCAAACATAACATGAATGAGCATGAATGAGTCTAAAAATGTTCTGGAGTGTTTAGTATGACCGTCGCTGGAACAATAACAAAAGCGGCCCGAACCAAAAATAGTAACACGGCGCGGCGTTGTCATCTGCACTGACGACCGAAGGACGATCGAAAGAGACAAAACACAATTTAAACTACAATCGTCCTTTATTATTATTTGCTTATTGGTCGCCAAGCGAATTCTGTCGACCTGCTATATCTTACGGGAAGAACTCATCCGGTTTTAAGAACCGGATAGCTATACAACACGGCTTAAAAGTGAACCCGCGTCACGGCACTGTTTCTATTAACAACATAACACCGGACGGGTCTTGAGTTCATTGCGAATCGCATGCAAAAAAAAAAAGTTTGACAGGTATAGTTAATACTGGTTAAGTCATCTGTCATCTGCACTGACAAATGACAAGAGTTTTGTCAAAGTCAGCTGAGGTCCAAGATTAGAGCTCTTTCGTCGCGCTTCTGAGGAGCACCAGTGAATCGGACTAACAAAATGTAACCGTTTCTTCACGGAGAAGGTGGAAACTATGCATCATCACACTTTGTGTACGGCCTAGCAAGAAAAATTGACAGATGTAAGATTAGGCAAGGGATATTCGAGCCAATATGCCTACAGATATTATCATCGTAGCGGATAGTCTTTGAACATTAAGAAACTTACCAAATCGTCTGTGTATCGAGAATGGTTTGTTCAAGATCTTGAAAGTTCCATTTTCAGTTCGGGATGCTTCCTCGATTTTCGTTGAACTCCTCGATTGTAGTCTTTGGTTGTGGTCTGTGTTGTGAATCGACCTTTCACTCATGCGATTCGGTTCATCTGCCAGATATTTCTGTGGGTGACTGTGAGGCGAATCCTGCTGGTCATTCTGTCTGTATTTGTAGGCCGATATTGACATCTGAAATTGAAAGATTTTTACCAATTAAAAAAAAGGAGGAGGTTCTCTCGTTTAGCCTTTTTCTTTTTTCTTTTTTAGGTCAACCTATTTAAACGGCCGTCTGGTGTAGTGGTAAGAAACGGCCGTCTGGTGTAGTGGTATGAAACGGCCGTCTGGTGTAGTGGTAAGTGACATGGTCACTACACAAGGGGGTCGCGGTTTCGAATCCCGCCAAGGGAAGATATTTGTATGATAAATATAAATGTCTTTTCCAGGGTTATGGATGTATATTAAATATGTGTATGTGTATAGTAAAAAATCTTACATTTATTTCCGTTATCTAGTACCTGTAACACAAGTTCTTTACGAACTTATCACGGGACCAGTTAACGTGGCGTGATTGTTAGTAAATATTTATTTATAATTATTTATTTATATTTATATTTTTTATATTTATTTTGATTGTTTTTGTTTTCATTAAGTCCGGTTTAAATTTTATCAAGAGCTGGCCGGTAGTTTTGGAGTTGTTAATAATGCATTGATTTCGACTACATCCATTATAGGGTATTAAAATTTTGTATTGTAGTTTTGTAAGTATGGCCGTCATGCTTGTGTCTGCCGTAAAGTGTTCTGTTTGAAGGGTAGTAAGTAGTACAGTCCCACAACAACGATTACCTGTTACAACTAAGTTTTTGATCTCATTGTTCAAGATTCCGATTTCCACTCGTTTTTTTTTTTATAGAATAGAAACCTATGGGATTACGTAAATTGCTTGATGCTGGTCTGATCTACTGTTTTAGATTCTGATGACATGCAATGGTTCAATGATTTCGTTACAGCATTGCCTGCTCTTTAACTATGATCAATTAATAAGAAAATAAATTTAAATAAAATATATATATATAATCTATTGTTTATTTTATGTGAGTGTTAATATCTTAATAATCGCATTGATGCCTATAATGTAAATGATATGTAGAGTTAATGTATTTGTAATGTGTATATAATTTTATTTAAATAATTTATATTGCGACGTGTGGTTGACATGGTTTCAAAAATGTTTTTCCAGGCTACAATAGCTGTGTTCGAGAAAATATCCGACTAGAATCGATAACCACTAATAAAATGTAACATAAATTAATCGATTTTAAATTAAATAAATAGTCAATTTAATCAAATAGTTCTAACAGTTTTTACATGATTTTACAGCTTGCTTTATATGTCACATCACATATCACATATAATCACATAATATTCGATTATGTGATTATATGTAATCACATATTATTCGATTATGTGATTATATGTAATCACATATTATCTGATTATATGTGTCCTAAGTGCCCATTGAGTGGTTTATTCAGACTTTATTTTCAACGACTTCAAGATGCGCTATTGGCTTGAAAATTAGCACATGTTTTCAGCGTTGATGAAATTACCGGAATTTTAATGTTCTTGTTTAATATCCCTACCACATAGGAAAACAAATATCATTTGTTTTGTTCTAGTTACGCTGAACGTACCAGAAAAACAACGTGTGATGTCAAATGTGGCTAATCGCCATCTATTAGTGCACGTTCGATGGTTCGTTATCCATGTTTTCCCAGAATGACGCATGAATAAAACGCAATGAAGTTTCGTCTGGAATTTTGTAAAGTTTGCGGGTAAATTTTAAATAAAAAGAACCGCCTATTAACCCTCCAAATAAGGAAGGTATGTCAGAGTTTTCACTCAAACAAAAAAAAGTTTTATATTGAAATATTACTTCCTGCTGTGAGTAAACAAGTTTACATTAAATCCCATGAACTGTTGCCTTTATGAGTCTTTATTGTTCTCAGAGTTTCATTATTGTTAACGTTTATTTAAACTACCGAAACTTGCGACTGAGTTAATATGATACGAATGTGGTAGCCCGCTGATTAGTAAATGCATTCACGAAGTGGCTGCCCTTGAGTTGTTAGGTCCTCTTGAGAGGCGCCCGGGCAGCTGTTAGCAAATCCCACCCTTCTTGGCTGAGTCCGTGCTGGCTCACCTGTCCCCGTGAAACCGGAAAGGCCTTCGGGCCACCAGTAATCCTCCCTTACTAAAGAAAAAACGACTATGGAAAAATAACACGAATGTGTGTCGAAGTGGGGATCCAATATACCAACCGCCTAGCAGTCAGGCGTTTACCACTCTCCCACCGGAAAACGATACGTACGTTACGAAACAAATGGTAATAAACGACGGAAACCCAAAACTAAATTAGTACTCGCAACGCAGTCGCCGAAATTAAAACTTCATCTTAAGTATAAATGCAGGCTCTTTTGCAATGCGCTTTAATGAGCGCGTCACGCAAAGGTGAACAGACTATAGTGCTAGTATTAATCTTGTACAATTGTGAAATGTTTACAGATCAATATGAATATATATCTAGTGGTAGGGAGTCTTGTAAGCAGGCACGGGTAGGCACTACCGTCCTGCCTATTACTGCCGTCATAAGCGTTTCAGTTTGAAGGATGACGTATCTGTGGTTGGTACTGTGAAATCTGAGTCTCAGAACTTGCTGATGCCCACGAGCTCCGGTATCGCTCAACGACGATTATTATTATTTCTATGATAGAACATAATTAGGCTTAATTATTATTATTCATATAAATAGCTGTTTCTTTGTACATTATTATTATTATATATTTTTTATAAATCATTTTGAATAAAATAATGTTGATAGCTTTGTAAAGTAGTTTTTTTTTATCAATAAAAAAATCATAATAAAAAATTGTATATCCCAATAATTATTTTCTTTATACCTCGTATAGAACACAAAATTAATATTTTTATAATAAGGAACTTCGTTCCTATCCGGTGTCCTACGACACCACACATTTAGGTTTTTTTAGTGCACCAGTTGGCAGAACGAGGTCATGACTTACTTGGTGTTAAGCCTTTGCAGAAGTTTTTGAACATCGTAACGTGATTGCCGGCATCGCCTTGATATTTGGTCTTCTCGCATTAAAAATGTATAATCTCAAAACTTACTAATTTTACAGGAGAGTGTTTTAAAGGTTTAAAATGTGATATTTTTAATATTAATCATTTGTGCAACTTTTATTTTTTATTATTTTACCAGTTTTAAAGTAAGATAAAATTATGTATTAATTTTGTTAATAGTAGTCAAAACATAGGTAAACTAAAAAAAAAAAACTAAAACTAAACTACGCTCTTTGACAGTATTTATGAGAAAAATACTAGTGATGATACCAAATGATTCCGCATATTATAGACTCAATTTCGAATATTTTTGGAAATTGTACACTTTTATTGCGAAAAGACGATTTGAGGTCAAAATCTCTATTCCACTTTTAAAACCGAAACGCTTGACTTATTCGCCGCTAAAACAGGCAGGCTGGTGAGACTCGCAGAAAAAAAAAAGATTTTGAAATCCTATGCCGAAACAACAGCCAAAAATTATGTATAAATTCTTTTCGGGGAATAAATCGCGCAATTAACAACAACTAGAGATGTTACAACCAACCAAAAAAATAACGCAAAAAAATCACACAAGCAACTTGTTATTACAAATTCGCTTGATTCTCTCATATAATGTTCATTGTCTGGTTTGTCTAACGATATTTAAATTACTACATCGGTGCTAATGACCTTGTGGCTTGGTATCTGTTTGCACGGCTTAAGTCAAGTGTACCCCAAAAATAGGTGTTCCTAAATGTATATTACTGATCAAACTGTGAGTTGCGGTATTTCAGAGAATTTATCGAGACATTTACGCAGCCCACTTTTCGTCACACATAAATATATAACTGTTTATCATATTAATAATTCGTCCTTTCTCATTAAAAGTGCACAATTTCCAAAAATATTCGAAATTGAGTATCACCAGTATTCTTCTCATAAATACTGTCAAAAGAGCGTAGTTTAGTTTTAGTTTTTTTTTAGTTTACCTATGTTTTTACTACTATTAACAAAATGAATACATAATTTTATCTTACTTTAAAATACATCATGTAACTGGTAAAAAAAAAATGTTGCATAGATGATTAATATTAAACATATCACATGTAATAAAACCTTTAAAACACTCTCTTGTAAGATTAGTAAGTTTTGAGATTAAACAGTTTTAATGCGAGAAGACGAATATGGACAAAGTCACTGATTAGGCCTCTAACGAATCTCTGTTAGCAGACACGCGAAAAGAGTATTAGAATAGTAATTAGATACGTATTCAGATAAACGGTAATAACAATCTACATATTAATACGTGAAGCAAAAACTTTGTATCCCTTTTTACGAAAATTGCGCGGACGGAGGAGTATGAAATTTTCCACACTTATAGAGAATATAGAGAAGAAGTGCACAATGCTAATTTTTTTTTTAAATAATGCATAAAAGATACATTAAATCAATAAAGAAAACTTTACACACTACATACCATGTATTTGACGCACACACGCATGCATACTATTTATTGTCAAACTTTTGTTCTTGGCGTCTGTTGTCAAATTGAGAATAGATTAAATATTGTTTGCTTTTGTTAATATTTTTTTATAGTGTAGTCTTGGCGAAATTTGTGATTATAGAAGTATAAAATACAATCGTAATAGTGTACAAACTTACAATTTCAATTAATGAAAGTCGAATTTCGACTACTGCGGGACCTCTAGTTATACTAATAACTCGGAACAGATTAGGTTTCTCTATGTTATGGGTACTAGAGATTGTCATACATACTTATATACGTTTAAATACACTCATATATAGAAAATAAACACCCAGACAAAGAACAAACAAACCTCTTCGTCACATGAATGTTTGCCCGATGTCGAATCCACGACTTTCGGCGCAACATTCAGAGGGCTAGCTACTGCACCACCGAGTCATAGTGGGTCATGTTGTTAACCAAATAAAACAAAATGGGCATGCACCGAGCAAGTGAATGAGTGCTCTATTGCCTCAATTCGAAGATTAACGCAGATCCTTCCATGTACATGATCCGTTGGTTCTTTTTTGAATTGATGAATTAAGAG